CCCCATGGAGTCAGCAGAATTTTGAGACAAGGGAGTCAGATCAGAGAAGGGAGCCAAGGGGGGAGGGGAGCAGGAGCTAGTGAGAAAGTGGAATCCCAACCATTATGGCAAAGGGGAGGACATGTATGGTTTTCTAGGGTTGCTGTAATGAATAATCACCAACCTTGTGGCATAAAACAACATAAGTTTGCATTCTTATGGTTCTGAAGGTCAGCGTCTGAGATGGGTCTTGCTGGGCCAAAAGAATGAAACTGGGCCCGTAACCTGCAACCATACACAAAAATCAATTCAAAATGGATTAAAGCCTTGAACAGTTAACGCCAAAGGCAAAGGCAACAAAAGCAAAAGGAAGCCAATGGGACTATCTCAAGGGAAAAAGCTTCTGCACAGAAAAGGAAACCATCAGCAAAAATGAAATGGCAACCTAGCAAATGGGAGAAAAATACTTGTAAACTATATATCTGAAAGGATTAATATTCAAAATATATAAAGAACTCATACAACTCAACAGTGAAAACAGGAAGTAATCCAATTAAAATGTGGGCAGAGGACCTGACTAGACATTTTGCCAAAGAAAACATACAGGTAGTCAATAGGTATGTAAAAGATGCTCAACATCACTCATCATCAGGGAAATCAAAATCAAAACCACCCGAGATACCCCTCACACCTGTCAGAATGGCTATCCTTCCCATACTCAGCTGTGCTGTCCTCTTGAAACTCAGATATACTAGCAAGCAATCTGGAAGGATATATTGCCAAATGGCCAACAGTGGTCCTTTTAAAAGGTAGTTCAAGGGAGGGAAAATATTAGGCTTTTATTGTTGTTGTTGTTTTATTTTACTTTATATTCTTCTGCCCTGTTGGGATTTTTTTCCACTGGGCATGTTTTACTTTTGGAAAAATTTTAAAAGCTGCAAATCCAAAAATTCCTGCTAAGATCAGTGTCAAGTAGTTTATTCCCTATGTTTTCTTTTAGGAGTTTTATGGTTTCAGGTCTTTAACAGTCTTTAACCCATTTGGAGTTGATTTTGTGTACGGTATAAGACAGGGGTCCAGTTTTATTCTTTTGCACATGGCTGTCCAGTTTTCTCAAAACCAATTGTCTTTTCTGCATTGCATATTTTTGACTCATTTATCATGGATTAATTCATGTTAATCCATATGCATGGATGTTTTTCTGGACACTATTCTGTTCCATTGATTGATGTGTCTGTTTTCATGCCAATACCTTACTGTTTTGTTGGCTATAGCTTTGTAATATAGTTTGAAATCAGGAAGTATGATGCCTGCAGCATTGTTCTTTTTTTTTTTCTTGAGATTTCTTTGGTTATGTGGGGTCTTTTGTGGTTCCATACAAATTTTAGAATTATTTTTTATATTTCTTTGAAAAATACCATTGTAATTTTGATAGGGAGTGCACTGAGTCTATAAATGGCTTTGGGTAATGTGGACATTTTAATAATATTAATTGTTCCAATCCATCAGCATGGGGTAAAGTTGTTTTTGAGCCCTTTTATGATCCTTTGTATTTCTGTGGAACCTGTTGTAATGGCTCCTCTTATATTTCTGATGTTATTTATTTTAGTCTTCTCTCTCTCTCTCTCTCTCTTCTTCCTGCTGATTCTAGCTGCAAGTATTTTGTTTACTTTTCAAAGAGCTAGCTCTTAATTTCAATGATATTTCTCTTGTTTAATGAGTCATTGTTAACCCTTCCATTTGTAGGATACATTGAGTAGGGCTGCTGTGAGCATGGGTGTACTAAATTTAAACATTTACATCTAATTGACATCATCTTGTATGCCCTGGTGAGATCACCTTGGAAGCTAGGATTTTACAAGTCCACTGCTTGAACTTTTGACACTTAGAATCCCTTCCTTGGCTACAGCATCCTTCCACTGAAGCAATTTTTATTGCTTTATTTTTTACTAATAAACTTTATTTTTAAGAACAGTTTTTGGTTTACAAGACAACTGAAAAGAGAATATAGGTTTTTTTTTAATATACTTTCATGCACACCATTTTTCTATTTTTTACATCTTACATTAGTGTAGTAATACAACTCATGAACCAATACTGATATATTATTTTAACTAAATCCCACAGTTGATTCAGATTTCTTTGCTTTTCCTCTCATATATCTTTTTTTCTGCCCAGGATCCCATCCACAATTCCCAAGTACACTTGGTCATCACATCTCCTAAGGTTCCTCTGGGCTGCAACAGTTTCCCAGACTTTCTTTGTCTTTGATGACTTTTAACATTCTGAAGAGGGCTGGTCAGGCATTTTATAGGATGCCTCCCTCTTGGAATTTATCTGATGTTTTTCTCACGGTTAGACTGGGGTGATGGGTTTGGGGAGGAAGACCCCTGAGGTGAAATGTTCTTTTCATCCTATGGTACTCATACTGGGGGCGTGTGCTGTCCCCATGGCTTATCACTCCTGATGTTGGCCTTGGTCACCTGGCTGAGGTGGTGGTCAGATTTTTCCACTGTAAAGCTACTGCTCATCCCTGCACTTTCCATATTGTCTTCTTTGGAAGGAAGTCATTATGTGCAGCCCACACCCATGGAGGGGCAGTTGTGGTCCCCTCCTTTAGGATGGAGTAGTTACATTGTGAAAATTGATAAAGGGAAACCTCACTAAAACAGAGTTGGGAATGTGTGGCACAAGGGCTCTCATGCCCTACCACTCCTCACTAATTGCAAATCCAACAGGAAGAGAGGCACCTTGTGCATGGATACAACTTTATTACCCCAGCAGGAAGAAGAAAACTTCCCTCCTCCCCTGGCAACAACACAGCCAGTAAGAGACAAACTAGCTCAGCCAATGAGAAGCAACTTCCTTCAAACTCCCAGGTTGGGGCGCTCCAGTGGTTCAGTCTGTTAAGCCTGGGATTCTTGATTTCTGCGTAGGTCATGGTCTTGCGATTGGTGGGATGGAGCCTGGCATGAGGCTCTGCTCTGTCAGTGGAGCCTGCTTGGGATTCTCTCTCCCTCTCTCTGCCCCTCCCATGCTCACATGCCCTCTCTCTCAGAATAAATAAATAAACTTAAAAAAAAACAAAAACCAACAACCTTCCAGGTAACTCTAGTAGACTTTTTGTTTATGACAGTCTTCCCAATTTCCTGCTTTACCTTGTTAAAGAGCAGTCCTCTCCTTGGTTTGGCAGACTTGCCTGTGGTTTTGCCATTAGCGTGCTTGTTCTGGATTGTAGTTTTCTGTGATTCCTGAATAAACCCATTTTTGCTGGTAAAATAACTGGCAAATTTATTTATTTATTATCTATTTATAATTTATTTATTTAAAAAAATTTTTATTATTTATTTATTTT